GAGCTCCCTCGGAGGATCAGGACGTAGGGTACAAAAACCCCCTTGGCAGGCACGTCATCCTGTCCTTTTAGCAGAGAGTAGATGCACCCTCTCCGTGCAAGAAGGGTGATTTACCGGGAACTGGGGGACAGGCTCGCTGCGCAGGCAAACTTTTCCTCTTGCACTCTCTGGGAAAAGCACCCCACTTCGCGGCCTCCCCACCCCCCACTACCCCATTCACCTGCCGCAGCAAGAGTTTGGGGAGGAGACCATTTGTCCTCTTTGGCCACTTGTGAGGTCAAAGTGTGGATGGGATGTAGCCTATGGCCCCACAGCAACACCTACCCTAAACTTTAGGGCTTTTGGGTGGCCTCAAAGTTCAAGCTTCTTAGAAGCAACAAAGACTTTCTAAAGATCTCCACCTTTTCACCCCTCCCCTTACTTCACTTTTCTCTGGCTACAAGCATTCGACCCCTTTTCTTTCGAAGGCTTAGGGATGAGTTTAAATCATTGTGTTCCCATTTCTTGATAACTGCCTGCTTTGAGCTTTTGTTCTCTTAAAGTAGGATTGCACACTGAAAGAGGGGCTGAAGATGAACAGTTTGACCCTTCAGGACAGTTCACGCAGTGGACAGGAGCGGCCCTCGGTCACCATCCTCACTGATGCTATTCACGCGCTCCCCTCCCCCTTTGCATAATATTTCAGCTTCGTTTCATCTGGACAATCTTTTAGACCACACAAGTGCCTCTTGAATTTATTTAAGTTAAGAGTGCTAGAAGAGTCCAGCTAAGGATATTTGGCGTTGGTCACGTCTTCGCAAATCTGAGTACAAATCGAAATTTCTTTCTTTCAGCAAAACCGAGCAAAATGCTGAACAAATAGAATTCTGCAACTGAGTGTGAATGCTTGGCTTCTGAATTTCACTACCGTTGTTAGACTGTTCTTGGGGTTGTTTCTTTTCTTTTCTTTTTAAAAATAATATTCTTCATGGTGGGAAATATTTCCAGCAGTGTTCTACTACTGAGTGATGCTTCTCTCGAAAGCTATAATACAAACATACAACCAAAATTCTTAGAATTCCAAGATGATCTAAAGGGTGATTTTTTAAAACTCTTGTTCTTTGCACAGTAATCTAACATACACCACTGCATACACCCAAAGAAGCCCTTATTTCAAAGATAAAATTCTGTAATGCCCACGATATCTTTATATTTACATAGATTGGAGGTTGACTGATGTCAGTGTTTGAACATGTACACAACCTGAAGTTTCTTGGCACAATTTTTTCTTTTAAAGAAAATTTCTGGAATCAGAAATGTGAAATTTACCCTAATAATATTTTACCTTTACTAAATATCTGCAGAGGACACACCTAAATATGCATTATTCACTTCTTACAGACAGTATAGAAAGTTTGGATTTTGACAAGAGAAAGCATGTACCCTTTCGGTGCATCATAAAAACATAAAATCCTGGGAGAACATAACAACTGGGGAGTCAGACACCCAAATGCTGTTAACAATCAACTAAAGAAATCCATTGTGTGTTTCACTAGCACTAAGCATTAGACCCAGCTTGATCTCTGTGTCTGTTTAGAGTTATACAAGACTGATCAGGCTTTCCTTTAAAAGCCTCTTCTTAACTGGTTTCTGCTTCTGTTCTTCCCCCCCAATATATTTTATCATCAGATGAACCCAGCACTTCTAGCCAAACTGAAATTTTAAAACAACTGGTCCGAAGAGGTACCGTTCTACTGATACTAAAATAAACCCTTCTTGCTTTCTATTAGTCTATTGGCTTGTCTGTCTTTGTAGGCAACTCCTGTGTGAGACGTAGCTATCTACAGACTGACACTCCAGGTTCCTCCAATCATTCCAGTATTTATTTCTGGCAGTCTTTGATCATTCCCTCAGAACCCAGCTTTCTCATCCCCTGTCCCATTCAAATTAACCCCAAAATCTTGCATCCACTGCAGTGTTCCTGTGTTCCTTCAGTCTCCACCTGCTAGCCAAGACTTGAAGGCTTTCTTTTAGGGGGACTGTGAAGAGTATTTACTTGTTTGTTTGGTATCAGTGATCATCACCTGGAAAATAATGCTTACATGCAACCATGGTAAGCACTTCTGGTAACTTTTACTATGGATAGATCTTCTGCTTGATCCAACTCTTTCATGAAGTTCTGATTCTGCAGGTTCATGATATAGAACCAGAGACCCAAAGAAGTGTGAGAGAGGCAGATACTGTATTTTGGAGACTGAAAGTGTCTCTCCTTTCTTTATAAATTTTTGCACTTCTCACAAATGAAATCAAGCTGCTCGGAAAAGATGGAGGAGGTAACCTGGGGAAATAATGCTTTTAAATTTAGGGAACTTGTTTTTCAAAAGGGAGGAGAGGCAAAACACAAATATCAGTGAGCAAAGTGAAAATCGTGGCAGTCTTAAAATCATTTCGAGACAGAAGGAAGTCTGGAGTTTGGAGAGAGCTGAAGTGGGCAAAAGTCTCTTTCGTGGGATTCTAGTTTCCATTTTCTTTCCTTTGTGCCTTCCAATCCTGCTTACTCTCTGCAGAAAATATGAAATTAAAACCATGCCAAAACACTAACAACCACTTTCATCGTGCCCTTCTCTGAAATAAACTTTTCCCCCAATTCCTACAAACTGAATGAGACAGAGACCTGCAGACAATTATCTTTTTCTCTTGCCACTTTTCAACTCCCAACATTCCAAATGCTCCTTGCTGAAACTTAGTTTGCCGAAGGGATCTTAAGGGAGACTCTCCTATCTACCGGAGTCCAGATCCACCGCCACTACTCATGCATAGTCTAATGCTCGGCCCAGTACACACTTCTGGGGGCTCTGCTTCTGTCTCTAAGAAAAGTCAGCCACGTCGACAACAGGGTGGGCATGAGCGTGAGGAGGAGGAGGAGAGGGAGGGCTGACGAGCAATGCAGAACAAGCTTCCCCCGAAGTCCAGTCACCCTCAGCTCTATTTTCCCGTTGAAAAGCCGGGAGTATGGGGAGGACGGGCCCCTTGTCCCTACAACGCCCCCCAGCGCGGAGCAGAGGTCACGGAAATGTCAGCGTAGCCCAGGCGCCCGCGGGAGCTGCCCGTCGGCCGCTCCTCCCACTCCGCTCGCTGCCACCGTCGCAGGAAGTCACCTGGTTGTCTGGCCCCGCGGTAAACTGGGGTTAACCCGAAAAATAAAACAAAACAAACAAAACCTGTGTCAGTTCCCGGAGATTCAGTTTGTCACAGGTAAAATGAGGAGAGCCCTTTTAGCTCCAACACGTGAGCGCTTTTATTCTCACGTCCGCAAAAAGCCCATCAACCGCTCCCACCCTCGCTGTCTCTCCTTCTAGGAGACGCCTCGACGAACCCGCCAAGGTCCTCTTCCTTCACCCTCGCACGCCAGTCTCTCTGCAACTTAAACACGCTTGCCCACCAGGTGCCCACAACGCGCCACCCCTACCACATATTCCTCCCTTAACCAAATGACTGCGTTTTTAAAACCATTTACTATTTGATGCAGCTCCTAAGAGCCTTTGCCAAGAGACGCCGGGCGGCACCAGAGCGTAGCTGCTTTCGCCGGCATTCTGACCCCCATTAACTAATTCCTCGGATCTCGACGTCCGGGAGCTGAGAGGCCGGGCAGCGGCGGGTACTGTGCGGGCGCGCGCGCCAGGGCTGGGGCGGGGGGGGGGGGGGGGCGTGCGGCCGCAAGGATGGGGGCGGGGGCGGTAGCCTCGGTCTCCCCAAAGGCCCCCGGCGCCCCGGCCCCTAATGAGCGGCTGAAAGGGAGCGGGCTCCGGTGCGCGTGGCTCGCAGGCCTCCCGGAGTCCGGGGCGCCCTGATTGGCCAGCTGCGCCTCGCGACCTCCATTCATTAATAAATTAGCGGCACGCTCCAGCCGAGCGCGAGCCACCAATCACAATGGGCAGCGGCGGCGACAACAGCCGCAGCTTGAGCTGAAGCCGCCACCGCGGCTTCAGCCGCTCCGACCGCAGCCCTGAGCTCCGACAGGAGCTTTAGAACCATTTTATGCTGATTAGATAAAGGGGGAAAAGAGGCGGGGGCGATGGGAGGAGGAGGATGGATGGCAGGGCCGGGGAGGGGGGGAGGTGGGTGAAGAAAGAGAAAGAAATGAATGATGATAATGCAATGAAAAGAATAAGCCGGGGGGAGGGAAGAGCGGGGGAGAAGGGGGGGTCGGCACAGGGGGAGGAGGAGGCGGCGGCCGGGGGTGGGGGGGAGGTGGGGGCCCCGGGGGCAGATCTGATTGTTTTCTTGGTGATATATAAGGGGTTTTAAGGAGAGTCGTGTGCCAGACACGCAGCCACTGAACCACAAGCAGCTTCGCTTTAACTGGAGTGCCCGGGAGTCGCGTGCCAGGAGCCGCACGGCCGAGGACTGACTGACAGACAGACACGCACCACCACCACAACACACGAGACCCGGGCGGATCGCCGCGGCCGCCGGGGCTCTTGGCAAACCCGCCCGCCGGATTGGTCCCCCGCGGAGCCGCGCCAGAGCCGCTGTTTTCAAGCGCCGAGAAGGACGCAGCGCTGCGCTCCCGGCAGCGCGGAGAATCGCAGCACACGCCCAAATAATAGCGACGCCGAGACGCATTTAGGGAGCAACGACGTAAGTATCCGCCCTGTGGCTTCTAACTTGCAAGGGTGTTTCCGGCACCCCGTTGCACCACGTCCGAACGCCCTTTGCTCGCGTGGAATCTTCGTCCCGGGGGCCGTAGCCCCTCTCCGCGCGGTACACAGCCTTGAGGTCAGCCCGCCGAGGGCGGGGCCCGGTTGGCTGGCTGGCGGCGGGGTCAGAACCAGGGGCTCTCCTGAGCTTGGAGAGCACTGGCGGGGTTTCCTCCCTAACTACGTTCTTCCTTGGCGCGGTTCCGAACCAGTCCTGGCGGGTGCGCGCAGGAGTACTGCCCGCGGACACCGAGAACGTGCCTCGGCCTCTGTATTTACATCGCGTTTGGTTCTTTCTCCCTCCCCGCTCTCTTCGGTAGGATGTTTGTCAAATCCGAGACGTTGGAGTTGAAGGAGGAAGAGGACGTGCTGGTGCTGCTCGGCTCGGCCTCCCCCGCCTCGGCGGCCCTCACCCCGCTGTCTTCCAGCGCGGACGAGGAGGAAGAGGAGGAGCTGGGCGCGGCGGGCGGGGCGCGCGGGCCGCGCGGGGCCGAGGCGCGGCCGGGGGCGCTGGGCGGCTCGCCGGCGGGAGCCGAGGGCTGCCGGCCTGCGCGGCTGCTGGGTCTGGTGCACGAGTGCAGTAAGCGGCGCCCCTCCAGGGCGCGGGCCGTTTCCCGCGGCGCCAAGACGGCCGAGACGGTGCAGCGCATCAAGAAGACCCGTAGACTGAAGGCCAACAACCGTGAGCGCAACCGCATGCACAACCTCAATGCGGCGCTGGACGCGCTGCGCGAGGTACTCCCCACGTTCCCCGAGGACGCCAAGCTCACCAAGATCGAGACCCTGCGCTTCGCCCACAATTATATCTGGGCGCTCACCGAGACCCTGCGCCTGGCGGACCATTGCGGGGGTGGCGGCGGAGGCCTGCCGGGGGCGCTCTTTTCCGAGACCGTGTTGCTGAGCCCGGGAGGCGCTAGCGCCTCCCTGAGCAGCAGCGGAGACAGCCCGTCGCCTGCCTCCACCTGGAGCTGCACCAACAGCCCAGCGCCGTCGTCCTCGGCGTCCTCCAACTCCACGTCCCCTTACAGCTGCACTTTATCTCCTGCCAGCCCGGCGGGGTCTGACATGGACTATTGGCAGCCCCCACCTCCCGACAAGCACCGCTACGCACCTCACCTCCCCATAGTCAGGGACTGTATCTAGAACTGCCATCCTTGCTACCCGCGCCAGGCCTTAGTGGGTTCCCGTTCCTGTCCCTGACCAAGCCCTCCTCCCACCCCTCTCCTGTCCCCACTTCTATGCCCTGGAAACCATCTCACTTCACGGGGCAGATGTAGCCGTTCTGAATCCTGGGTTGTTTGCTGCATTCCCTGGCTAAGTGTTTCCTTCCTTCAGACGGTCTCTAATTTATTGACGGTGTAATGGAGCTTATTGTCAAAGAGGATGGTAGAATTTGGGGGGCGTTTCTTAAGGCTAAAAAGATGCTGGGAAGCGATGAAGGTGGCCTGTCTAAAGAGTTTGCAGAGTGGACTGACGCTCCTCCCCCTCTCTGTAACACCAGGGGGACTCGGAGCGGTTCGTGTGAATCTCCCAGGGGAAATGCAACTGGTTCCTCTGATCTCTTCACCTTTGCTTCTACATAGAGATGTTAATGTCGAGTAGAAACAAATGTATCTTAGCATCTGAATGATTTTACCGGTAATAATATTATCCACAGATTTGCAATGGCTGGCATCTGTTTTATTCCCATTGCTGTCTGCGGGCTGTGGGAATTTCACCTGTCAAACCAAACTTTCCCTCTCTGATGTGCACTTTGTTCTGTTTCCCAGATTCGTCACAATGCCTATTGTCCCGTCCTTCTCTTTCCTTTTTCTTCTCCATTTTGCCATCTGTCTCTTATGATTTATAAGGGGAAAAAAGTTGTTTTGTTAGAGGGCCAGGTTAGAAGTCATTGTATAATTTGTAGGCTTTGTAATGATTGAATGCAAGCGTGGAAATTTAGGCTGAACTCTCTATCAAAAGGAAAAACGTGGAGGAAAAGGGAAAAATCAGGAGGGAGGATTGCTTCATGCATTATTTATCTCGACCTTTTAGGGGAGAAGGAACTCCCCCATTCTTTCAAGAGATTAAAAATAAATCAACAGACTGAAAACCTAAGCAGACACGGAGCATTATCAGGATCAGCCACACACGTGTTCCCTTCTATTTATTATAAAGAAATTTTTCATGGGAAAAGTATGTATTTTTTGTATATTTTACAGAGTTTATTCTAGTATGTATTTACATCTTGAACAAAAAATTGTTCTTGTGATTAAACTATAAATAAAATATATAATTTTCATAATTTTTCTGTGTTGTATTCTAACTTTTGCCTGCTTTTGTGGTTTTTAGAAGAATGTGTTGTGCCTTCCTGAAATTCTCCCTGTAGCAAATTGAGTTAGAGTACTTGTATTTTTCATCAGTGTTTGTGTGCAGAATTTCGCTGACACATAAAGTCTAAGAGATCACAAGAAGCTGAATCATATTTGAGACATTAACACTGACATCAGAGTGTAACTGCATACAAACAAAACTTGATTTTTAAGAAATCAATTTCTGAGTGAACAAGATCAGTAAAAAGGGGGGGAGGGTTAAAAGATAATTAAATCATGATAGTTCCAAAGTTCAGAAACCTTGATGTAAAAAAAAAAAAAAGTGGAGTTGAAATTTCTTGTGAGAATGTGTAGAGAAATGCTTCTTACACTTTGAGTTTCAGTTATCACCTGTGAACTGTAGGGACTGGACAGTGATTTCCAAGGTCCCTTCCAGCTCTTACATCTGTGATATATTTATAATTCATTATTGGAAGCTGATTTTGTATTAGCCATTTTAACAAACTTGTTGGTTTTAAAAGTAAATTCCTGGAGAAAAAATATTCAGAGTGAGCTGGGATAAAATTGCATCTGAGGCAAATAGCTAAGCTTTCCATTTTTGTTAAAATAATTACATAGTCAAAACTTAGAGAGAAAGCAAAAATGGTTTCCTAATCTCCCCAACACATAACTCTGTAATTTGCACTTCAATTTCCAAAGCAGAAGTGAATAGCATCATGGGTCAAAGATGACCAAGTGAAGGTTGACCACATTCTAGGGTTAAGCCCCTTCCTTGGTGGAGGGTGGCCACTGGACAACACAAGCTAGAAAAAAAAAATCACCTTAGCAAGGAAATGTTGGTTGTTCATGCTCCCCTCCCTCCCCAATGAACTTCATATCTGCTTCTGGTTTGGGCTAAATCTTCCACTCCTCTGCATTAAGCAACAATAATTTCTCCTGAGATATCTATCTGAAACTACTCCTCCTCTCTACCCATATGGAAAATATTAAGTGTTTAGTATCTTAATAACCATTTTTTTTTTAATCAAAGGGAGAACCAAGCCAGGGGTTCGCTTTGTTTTGTTTTCATAGCTGGACAGAAAAGAGACCTGTTGGAAAACCCTTCTAATTTAAAGATTGTGCTATTCCTAGCCACTCTTAATTATCTGATATGAGGAGACGGTGCTTATCTTTAATATTCACAGTTATGTTTCTAGTGTTTAAAAAGCTAAGCCGCGAGTAAAACAATTTTAGTAGGGTAGTTTTAAAACATCACAGTTTTAATGCCAAATAATTGTTCTAGTGATGATGCTTATGAAGATATATGGTGCTTCTTTTGGAAATTTGCCAAAGAAACATTTCATGGCATAGGTCTGTGGAGACAAACTCTCAGGGCAGTTAGTCTCCCAAGACTATGGGAAACCTCCTCAATTGGTGGGGTGATCCCATAGACAGGTGACTCTAATTGTTTAGCTGGAGAGGCATGGATGCCGAGATGGTCCAATAACCACAGCTTTGAGTAAGGGCAATACGGCGAACGAGCAGCCGCGCCTACACAGGACCGGCGGCGCGTTTAGCTGCAGCTTGTAGGTCCCCATACACGTCAGCAGCATGTCATCCATGGCTGGAATTCCGTCTACCATTTGTAACCTATACTCAGGCTATCCCTTCCTCATCTAGAGCAGACCTTATTTTACACTAAATTGGTGCAATTATTTTTATGGCGTCCAATCTCTTTCCGCGGTTAAGGATGATGATCTTTCTGCCCCACTTCGCGCAGGGAAGTCGCGCAGCAACTTCCATAGCCTGTCCTTTACCCCCCTCTGTAAGAATGAGAATTACAGGGTGGAGGCCGCTGCTTCTGCAGTAGGGAATATAGTCGCCCTTCCCTTTGGCCCATTTCCTCCCCACGTTACGACCACAACGGGATGAGCTGGGTCTGTCTGCATCGAGCGGGCTGGTGGGCGGCTGAGCAGCCACTCTTTCTCTGGCAGCTCCCGGATGGCAAACGTTTCAAACAAGACCAAGGAGATGTTCTTCCAATGCCAGCCAGTCCCACACCGCCAGAGTTGCTAGATCTTTCCAGCGCCAACGGGTGCGCTGCGCGTGTTTACCTAAGGGCAGAGAGGTGCCAAGGTTGCTCCTGTCCTCTTTGGAAACTTCGCTTCGACGCCGTCAGGGTTCCGGTACTGGTCGTATTTATTTGTTCTGAACTGCCCAGGCCTTGTTACCAGACTAATTTTTCCTTCACCAGACTGTAAATAAATCCAGCCGAGGGCCCACAAGGAGGAAAAAAGCAGCAGAGGGACGGGCTGCCAACTGCTGGGCCCACCGCGGGACCCCGGCCCAGGCTCAGCCGAGGCGCGAGGAGAGAGCAGGGCTGAGGAGCCGGGAGTCCGGCCGCACCCGAGCAGGGGTCGGGTGGGCGCCCTCCGGGGCCGAGCCTTGCAGGCCGGGCAGAGGCGAGGGCACCGGAAGGCCCCGGGCGGCCTTGTCTCGGAGAGAGCGAGGGTCCAGTCGGTCCTTCCCTGAGTTTAGCCCGATTACGCATGAAGGACATCTGGGCCCAAGGCCCGCTGTAGCCGCGCACCCCCGCCATTCCGGGGGGCAGGGGCTCCTGGCTGCGGCGAGCCCCCCCCCCCCGCCTCGCCCTCCGCCTGCAGTTCGCCGGGTGCACCCCCTGCATTGCACAGCCTCGGGCAGGTTGTGACTTCTGGGCACCGACACCTGGAACCCGTTAAAAGCGCCTCCTCCTCGTGCTCGGCCTCCCCCCGCCCCCCCCCCCCCGGCGCCCCCTCGGCTCTAGGGCTCCCAGGCGAGCTTTGAATGTATTAATTAAATAAAGCAGGCAGCCCTTGAATCGCACCGATGCAGGGCGCTCCCGGGAGCGTGAAAGTCCCGGCCTCCGAATCCGCAAAAGAAAATGTGTGAAAAGAGAATTAGTGAAATTAGGTTAGACCAATAAAACGTGAGGGCTCCAGCACCCCCCTTCCCGCTCCCCCAGCCTGGGGCTAGAAGGGCTATCTGGTCTGATCTATTGTTTCCCTCCCTGGCAGGGGGTTCATTGTGTGATAAATAATTCCCCTTCCATTTTATTCTTTAAAAAAAAAGGGGGGGTATTTGCATAATCACTGCTTTGATGTGGCCAGAAATCGGAGGCTTGGTCTCCCCAAGTCTACTGCTGGTAGCGAAGCAACAAAGCTCGATCCAGATCTTTCACTTCGCTACCAGTGTGTGGGGCAGATTGTCAGGAACGGCAGCGTTAAGCTCCTTTTTTTTTTTTTTTTTTAAGGATCCATTTTAATGATTAAACCTAAGGAATGTCAAAAAAAAATGGGGGGTGAAAAACGAGGGTTCTCACCCCCCTCTGCTTCTCCCTGTCCTTTAGGGTTCATTGTTCTCGGCAGTTTTCCCCCAAAGCCTTTGGGTGTGTGTGTGGGGGGGGGATGCGCCTTGCTTGGGGCAGCCCCACGTGGCACGCAGTGGGCACCCGCAAGGTCCGCCCGGGCGGGGAGGAGCGAGAACTGCAGGAGCAGTTCTTCTTGCACACCCCCATCACCCCTCCTCCACGGTTTTCTTTTCCCAGTTTGGTTTATCCAGCCTGGATGAGCTCCTCTTACGGAGGGCGCTGAAGTGAGTTTGCTCTTTAGACCCGGAATCGAATCCGGGGGGTCTCCTGGGAACGCAACTTGAGGGCAGTTTCGGGCAGTCCCCGACGGGAGAGAGGAGCAAAGAAATTCAGTCATCCGGAAAGCAGAACGGGAAAGCCAGTGTGGCCGAAGCTATTATTTTCCTGCAAGGTGGCGTGAGTTGGGAGGATGGAGTGGGAAAGGACCCTGATGGTGTGTGCACTACAACAAATGACTTTTTTTCTTTTTTTTCCCCCGTCTTTGGTGCCAGGGTTGGAGGAGGAGGGAGGGCGACGGGAGTGCTCCTGTCTGCCTTCGCTGGCACCCGACTTCTCCAGCCACTCAAAGCGCAAAGGGCGGGGGGTGGGGGAGAGTCAACTTGGATTATTGACTAGGAACACTCCGTGAGAGGCCGGGGCTCCCCGAGCGCCCGCACAGGCGCCAGCTGTGCGCTCCAGCCTGGGTGGGTCTCACCTGCGCGAGAGACGCTCAGCCTCCTGGGATCCGAGCGCTGGAATCCCGCAGGGGTGGGGGTGGGGAGATGCAGGCGGGGAAGGAGGATCCGCAGAGCTTTCCTCCCCCTCTCTGGCCCCCGCCTCTCACCGAGCTGACTCCCCGCCATTCTTCAGGTGTTCTCCCAGCTTTCGGATCGCAGAGCTTCGGTGGTGGTTAGCTCATTATCAATTCTCTTTTTATTTATTTTTCCCTTTCCCTTGTCAAGGCTGTAACTGTGTAAGCATTAGGTTTTCATGCCAAGTTTCTCACAAGACAAAAATCGTATTACTTAAGAAATAAAAGGACTTGGGATCTAAGGTTCCTCCCAAAGAGGCATACTTTTAATTTTGGCTGGACTTCGGGGACCGTGCTTTAGATTCACGTTACCTGGGAGCCACTGTAGTTAGTCGTGTACATTGAATTCCAGGGATGTAGGAAATCAAGATGCAAAAAGTTAAATTTATTTCAAAGGACACATCTCCAAGGGAGGCTGTTTGGACTGTAACGGGGCCTTTCAAAGGTTCAGAAACGAGTGTGTTTCTCCGCCGCTCTTGCTGAATTGCAGAGCAGACTGGTCACCAACGTCTTTCTTCATTTCTCCTTTCTTTCTGATGATTCCATCATCACCTTCTCTCCTTTCTCTTCACTCCAGTGCCTGGAGGCATACCTGGCGAGGTAAAACAACGGAGTAAAGAACCAAAACTTTCACCTATTTTATTTGATCTAGAAACAATGAAGTAAAAGTGCGGAAGTCCATGTAAAACGGAAACTGGAACCT